GTTGCACTGGCTCAGCCCTGGGAGAGAAAACCTGAGTGTTGCACTGGTCGTTCAGTCTCATGAAACAGTATCTCAGAAAACGTTTTGAAGTTTCCATGAGAACCCGATTCTGCTAGAAATAACTCTTTCCTGGGGACCCGAAAAGGCCGAGGTGGACACCCAGTTTCTGAGGTAATAACGTAGAGCTGTTACTTCCTGTGACACTCGTGTGTGATGTTTGACTCTGACAAGGCCGAGGCAGCATGGGCTGTTAGACCTGTGTGGACTGCTGGGCCTTCTTTCACTTGTTGCGGAGCTGGTAACTTTGTCCTGTGTTTTATGGCTACTTTATTGAGTAGTAGCGTGAGACTAAGGGACTTTGCTTTGGAGGAAACAGGAATAGAGATTCCTGAGGATCTTCTGCTGGCCCAGGTTTTACAGTGCTCTTATTGTCTGCCCCCTTTCCTCTAGTGACCCGCCATGTCACTGTCCCACTTGTACCGGGATGGGGAAGGCCACCTGGATGATGACGATGACGAGCGTGAGAACTTTGAGATCACAGATTGGGATCTGCAGAATGAGTTCAATCCCAACCGGCAGCGTCACTGGCAGACCAAGGAGGAGGCCACCTATGGGGTGTGGGCTGAGCGTGACTCGGACGAGGAGAGGCCCAGCTTTGGAGGAAAACGGTACTGTCTGCTGGGCTCTAGAGGATGGGTAGGCACCCCAGGTGTGTCTTCTCCTGGCCATATTGAGTCCTGTAGCTACAGCCTCTTGCTGTGTTGTAGAGCTGGGGTGGTATGTTCCTCTTCAGCAATTACTGTGTGATGGAGGTACAGCTACTTATGGATAGAGGCATGCTAACCAACCACAGGCCTGGCAGCTTTGGAATCAGGCCCTGGTCAAGGAGCATTGTCACAGGTCTTAAAGGATAGGGAGGTTAGGGAAGGTTCACGTTGGAGAATACTGAAACGAAGGTGGAAAGAGATTGGGTCCACAGGGGACTGGGTTCTTTAGTAAGACAATGTCTCACAAGAAAAGAAAAAAATCATGTGTCCCCACATTTGATTAAATTCAGAATTTCCTATTAATTTTACTTAGACCCACCCCCATCCCAACAGGGTTTCCTTGTGTAGCCTTGGCTGTCCTGGAACTTGTTCTGTAGACCAGGTTGGCTTCCTCTACTTCCCGAGTGTAGGGATTAATGATATACGCGACCACCGCCCAGCTAGGATTTTTATCTATCTGAATTTTTTTGGTCCTGTTTGATTTTTTTTAACACTTGAAGTGGTATCTAAAACAAGTGCTGGGTGTGTGCTCTGCTGGGAGCGGGGCCGAGGACCGCATGCATGCTGGGTGCGAGCTCTACCGCTCTACAGCACAATCAGTCCTCAGTTGTAAGGGGCCCAGTGGGCTGCTCAGCAAGTAAAGGTGTTTGCCACTGCCACACAAGCCTGGCAGGCCAAGTTCAATTACCAGGTGCTGCGTAGAAGATGAAGAGGGAGAACCACTCCACAAAGTTGCCCTGACCTTCACATGCTTGCCGAGGCACATGTGGCCCCAACATTTTTAAAAGTGTCAAGGGGGGGGGGCTGGAGAGATGGCTCAGAGGTTAAGAGCACCTCTTAACTGCTCTTCCGGAGGTCCTGAGTTCAATTCCCAGCAACCACATGGTGGCTCACAACCATCTGTAATGAGATCTGGTGCCTTCTTCTGGCCTGCAGGCATACATGGAAGCTGACTACTGTATATATAATAAATAAATCTTTAAAAAAAAGTGTCAAAGGGAAGTAAGATATTATATATATTTTGAATTTATAATCAACTCAGTTGACAATGACAAATCTTCAGCTACAGATTGGAATTGTGAGACCCCATAAATGTTAAATGTGGACTAGAAGATGAGCCAGCAATTAAGATCAAATACTGCTCTTGAAGACTTGAGTTTGGCCCCTTGCTTTTCAGCTCACAACTGCCTATAATTCCAGCTTTAGGGGAGCTATGCTTTTGGCTTCTTGGACACCCACACAGTCGTGTGCGTAACCACACAGACATAATGTTTTTTAACTGTTAAACATGAGATTACTGGCAGCCAGTTTTGAGTCCCTTTTCGTGTTTGAGCAAAATAAATGTATTATATTTTAAAGTGGATCCCATGAGGGCCTCTCTCCCTAATGAGTTCTCTTGTGAGCAGTTTCTAGGACCGAGTGCTGCAGAGGTGTTCTCAACAGATGTGGGGGATTTGTGTCTGTTTGCAGGGCCCGAGACTATTCTGCACCCGTTAACTTCATCAGTGCGGGGCTCAAGAAAGGGGCAGCTGAGGAAGGGGACTCTGACGACTCTGATGATGACGAGAAGCCTGCGAAGCAGGAGGATTTTCCAAAGGATTTAGGACCAAAGAAGTTAAAAACGGTAGGTTTTTAGGCAGTGGCACCCAGCAGAGGTTACCACTACAGAGGCTTCCTTGGCAGGGAGCCCAGCAGGCACCATGTGTATGCTGCCCCCCACGGGTCCTGATTCTCTTTCCTGGTCTGTGTCCCTGATGTGATTTTGGTCCACTCACAGCTTTTCATGATGCATTGTGGCTGCAGGCTGCTCTCTTGTTGGCGTGAACTTCCTTGTATTGTTCTGTGTTTCTCTCTCACCCATGCTCCTCTGGCCTTCTATGCAGGGTGGCAATTTTAAGCCTAGCCAGAAAGGCTTTGCTGGAGGAACCAAGTCCTTCATGGACTTTGGCAGCTGGGAGAGACACACGAAGGGGATCGGGCAGAAACTGCTGCAGAAGATGGGCTATGTCCCTGGACGGGGCCTGGGAAAGAATGCACAAGGTGAGGCTGTGGCCCAAGCGGAATGTGGTGAGGGGAGGTATAGGGTGGGCTCACCTCCTCTGCCTGTCCCCTTGAGGAAGCCTGTCAAGTATGGAGTGATCTTGGCGGATCAGGTCCTGGGCAGGATACTTGAACTCAGAACCAAATAAAATAGCGGCTAACTCTACAACTGGGTTTGGCAGTGTGGGCCACTTGTGCTCCTGACTTTCCTGACTTTCTTAGAACCCTGATTCAGTTACTGAAGTGGGAAGGGGAGTGTTAGGATCTAAACTGGCGGAAATAAATGCTAGTATTTTAAAGTCAGACAGTTTCACCAAGAACTCTAGGTTTTGTTTGGCAGGAGTTTGGCTGCTTCATGGCTGCCTCTGGGGCTGTGTGAGGTCTTCTGCAGCAGTGTCCTCAGCTCCCCGGCGGCCTGCCAGGTGGTCATGTATGTGAGCCCACCTGAGCTCTGAAGGCTCAGCTCTGCAATCCCCGCTTCTGTGGTTTTTGTTCTCAGTCAACATCTGGGTGTCAGGTAGGTCAGCGAGCAGCATGGCAGCCTTCACCAACTGAGGATGTGTCTGCCGCAGGCTCATCAGAACTGTGTTGGTCCCCATACCAGCCTCATTGAGAAACAGCCCTTGGCACACACAATTCATCACCTTGAGCCAGAGCCATGAGGAGCAAGAACTTGGCCTTTTCCAGCAGGAACTGTGTCCACTGTAATTCCTAGGCAGGGCCACACTCATCTCAGGGAGTGCTGAGCACGTACTGGGGAGAGACTAGCAGAGCATCAGCGAGGTTTCAGTGGTGCTGAATGGGGAAGTGGAAGACAAACCTGGGGAGGAGCAGGAATCCTCATGAAAATGCTGTATTGCTTATTTCCAGGGCTTCGCCATGTTATAAAAGTTATTGCAGGTAGCTGGGCACTGGTGGTGCACGCCTTTAATCCCAACACTCTGGGAGGCAGAGACAGACTGATCTCTGAGTTCAAGGCCAGCCTGGTTTACAAGAGCTAGTTCCAAGACAGCCAGGGCTGTTTATCAGAGAAACCCTGTCTTGAAAAATCAAAGGAAAAAAAGTTAATTGCAGGCAGTGTGAGCCCCTTCCAGCCCACAGCTGTCCTTCAGCCAGTCAGTGTCCTGAGCTACTGGCCACAAAGGCTTCTGAATGCTGGCAGTGGGCAGTGCATAGGACTGAATCCTCGGCAGTGGTCTTTTCCCACTCATCTACAGTTTCCAAGTTTGCAAGTGATGTCACTCTGCAAGTTCCAGTGCTTGTGGCACTGTCCTGAGCACAGGGACGGGTGGTGCTGTCCTATCCTGAGTAGTGGTTTGCTGTGGGGTGAGTGGCAGGAAGCCTGCTCTTAGTGGTTTTTTCACTTAGGTTGCCAAGATCTGAAAAATCTTTCTGTTTCTTACCTATTCTTGCTCAGGTATCATCAACCCCATTGAAGCCAAACAGAGAAAAGGCAAAGGAGCTGTGGGGGCCTACGGCTCGGAGAGGACCACTCAGTCTCTGCAGGACTTCCCCGTGGCCGACTCAGAAGAGGAGGCTGAAGAGGTAATGGGAAGGCAGCTGCGTGGATGACTCGTGACTGGGCCATTCCAGTCAGCTGTTCTGGGCTGTGCATCCTGATGGCCTTTGGGTGTCACCACACACATGCTTACATGGCAGGCCCAGCTGGGGGCTCTGTGCAGCCAATAGCATCATGGTGTCGGAGGCTTAGGTGTGTGTGAGGCGGGCAGCTGTGAGGCGGGACAGGGTGGAAACTGGCGTGCAGCTGTGTGGTGGTCTCACTGTAGAGTACATTTCGCTTAGCCTCGAGATGGCCCTGTGTGAGACTGGGCGCCATGATTCATGAACAGCTGCGAGTCCAGGTACTTGAAAGAAATGCAGTTTAAAGCAGCGTGAAGAATAAAACGGCGGTCACGGGACTGACTGTAGGGTGGCCGTGGTCTCGTGCGTGGCCTCTGCTCACCTTTGCTTCCTAATCCTTTGTCTAAGTTCTGCCTGAGTCATAGAGGACCAGCAGAGCTTCGCCTGCCCTCCGGGCACCTGCCTTGGCATCTCACTGCCTCTACTCCACAAGGGTGTTGGGAAATGGCGCTTGGTGGCTCCAGACATGCTAA